AATGGCGAATGCTGTCCTGTCTGGGTACTGCAACAGATTTGTTGGATATCCCTAGGCAAATGACATGTATGAACCCTGCTTGCACGTGTAGGATTGTATAGGCTGATAAAATCCCCCAGTACCTAGCTTCATACATGTCGGTTGCCTAGGGATATCCAACAAATATTGATACGTAGCTAGTACAATGTATATGAACATACGTAGATCTCCACAGTTATTCTCGAAGTGTGCAAAAGCATAATGATTATATTTCTATTGGTTATGTATGTACCTGCTGTGGCTTCATAAAGGCCCAGTGTATCCTGATCGTCTAGCCTTCTAACTGGTACCGTAGAATCAGCTCCTGCAAGTAATAAAACAGTATCTCTGAAGTTCATTGAACTTGCATCTTTTATGAGTTTAATAGCTATTGGGAACTCTTTTTTTTTGATGGAAAAAACATTTTGCAGTGCAGTAGGAAATTGAGATTTTCAAAACTTTTACTCAAATTTTCAGCTTCTTTACAGATAGTAGTAGCCACCTTCATTAGCACGACCTCGTCTTCGTCCTGGGTGTGGCGAGCCATGCTTTGTCCTCTGGAGACTGGACACGTCAGCCAGTGGCACCTCGGAGTCTCGCTGGTTAGGGAACGAATTCTGTCCTTCTTCGAGTTGAGGTTGGGATGGGAAATTGCTCTCTGTTGTTGCCGAGGAGGGTGGGGGCGTGTCAGTGTCCTCTCCGGCACCAGTTACAACCGGTTTGGTCTGCGGACTGAAGCCAAATGCTCGTGATCTCGGAGGCGAGGGACGCTTGTTATTCGGCCTCTTGGGAGCTGTCGGGACAACCAGTGGTAGGGAGTCCTCGGATTCGCCAGACTCTTCTGCTTTGTCGATATCAGTCACTTTGTTGGGCTCCAACCCTATATATAAAATTGAAAAAGTTCTAGCTACATTGTAAAAGAACATCTCAAAAAAAGTGGAATACTTCTAAAGGCACATGTTTCTTTTCCTGATGCTGCTGAAAAATAGGAAACCTCACTGACAAAAAGGTCACTTTCCTTGTTCCAGTTTAGATAGTATAGAGTGTTAGATAAAGATAGCAGAGCTCAAACCACTCACAAGACAAGAGATCTCCCGTCTGAATGCCCTCTAGCTCAGCCAGAACAGCATCCAGGTCTGCAATATCTGACTCCACCTCCTATATATAGACACACATACACAGCAGCATCATAATGGTGGCAAACCAACTGCATGTTACGGAAAAATCAGGGGAAGTTTATTTTTTCTTTCAATTTTCAATTTTCGAGAGCCATCCTTGAAATTGCCAACCTTATCTTCCTCATTAATGTTTCCCACTATGTTGGGTATTGTGCACATATTCTACCTTTTCCACCGACGGTTTAGGCTTCTGAACTGGTTTGTTGCTCTTCCATTTAGGAGCACTAATCACACTTTCTTCCTCCTCTGAATCTGAATTGCCGAAATATTGATTCCTTCGCTGATGACAAAGAAACAGAGTTAACTCCGAGCTATTAGCAAGAGGGTCCGGACTTTAACCTGTATAGCTCCTCTGTCTGCTGCGGTTGTGCCGAGTGGTGGTTTTGACCGAAGAAGAGAGGCTGGAGTCTGTTTCGCTTCTCGGCCAGTCTCTCGAGAAGTCTAGTAGAGGGGAGTTAAAAGTCTTAAGTTCAAAATGTATGTGAGGATTCATAAAGTGCTCTTACAATGTTTGATTAGTGAGCAAAAAGAGCTTGCCTATAATTATATATGGGCTGAACACATTCACAAAAGTGAATATGAATCGAGATACGTAGTGAAAAAAGAAATGCACCTGTTTGGAGAGGGCAGTAGATCTCGTTGGCTGAGTGGGAGAGGACCGCAGCGTGGCTTCTCTCCACGATGCCGTCTCTGAGATACCTGGCTCTCCTCCCTCACCAGGGGAGTGGAGGAAGACGCCGGCTTCTGCGAGAGAAGAGAGAAAGAGGAGACGGAAGAGTGAAAATTTATTTGAGGGATTTAAGCTGCATGTTAAAATCAAAAGCATTTTCATATTGCTATTGCTAAAAAGTTGTGAGAAACATGTGCTCCATCTCCACCCCACTTGCAGAGACATTTTCATGCTATCTTGTTCTCCAAAAAATGTCCTGCTATATTATTATGGTATGAAGTAGTTAGCATGTTTCAACCACATGCTATGATGGTACACCCATAGCTAACAATGTAGCTACCTGTGGTTCCCTCTGTCTGCTGTGCAGGGAAGAGACAGGGGGAGATGGAGGGAGCTCTCGTCTCCTCAGTGGGGGAGACGAGGAGAGTTTCCCTAATTGTGACTCCCCAGAATCCTTTCCCCCAGACACTGAAGACGCTGGCTTCTTGGCTGGTGGAGCCTCTTTCGACGAAGCTAAGAGGGAAACCCACGCATCGTAACACAGTTTGTAGGGAATTGTGCAGTGTTGCCCTGTTCTTTAAGCCAGCAGCTTTGATGACACAGTATTTTAAAATCAAAGTATACACATGACACATTAGAAGTATTACACACTATATATACATACAGCAGCTAGTGTTAGAGCACACCATACGTAGTGTACTGGCAAAGAGAGGGTTACATTTTGTTTACCTGTTGATTTGGCAGATTTGGGAGGCAGAGGGGCAGCTCGGGTAGGGACAGATGGGCTCTTCTTTGGTGTAGCGGGTCTTCTTGGAGGTGTGGCCTCCCTGCTCCTCTCCCTTGCCTCTTGTCTCATCCTTTTCTCGTCCTCCTTCTTCTTCTGCTTCTCTTTCTTGGCTACAGTCAACAAAAGCAAAACAGATCAAGTAACTTAGATTTTTTTTTTATCATTGCTTGATTCGTACGCTTTGTAGGCTTAGGTTTTCCTATGGTATCATTAGTCCACACATTTATCTTGGCTTTTTGTGCAGGCAAGTGTTGTGCAGGCAAGATTATAGCAAGTTTGGTTGTTGTGTACCATTCATCTTCTCTTTTTTCTTCTCTTCCTTCTCCCTCTCTTTTCGAGCCCTCTCCTCTTCCTTTGCTCTCTGCCTCTCCTTCCTTCCAGCACTCTTTGGCCTTTCACCTGCCTCCAAGCCTATACAAAACAACAAGGTACTCAACTGTATTTAAATTTTGTTGTGCAGTTTCTTGCTAAGTCAACTAAACATATGGAAAGTATTGTGTAAAGTCATGTAGTCATGTGTATTTCATTACGAGAGTGTTGTGCAGTACCTCTCTCTGGAGTGGAGCTTCCGTCTGATTTCTTGGCAGAGTTCTTTCGCTTGTTGTCTCTGGTTCTTATTCCTTGAACCATGTTGATGGTTTCGTCAAACTCATCGTAGCTGCCTTCTGCTTCGTCTGCACTGGGGTTCCGCGAGCCGGTCAGGCTGGTTGTTGCAATATCCAGCTATAGCACAAGAACACACACGCATACACTACCTTCGTCGTAGAATTAAGATTATGGCTGCAAGGAAATGAAAATGCTTATTCTCTAGTATTTAGTGCACTGGTTTTACTACACCTGAATCTAACTCTCCTGACATTCTACAGTTTTTCTCCTCACTGGGTGTCTACAACAGCTCACCATTGAGCTCTCTCGAGCACCCAGAGCATTGAACAGCATCTTTTGCCCAAAATTGCGTGAAACCGATGCGTTTCTCTGCCTCTCCATCTCGCCAGCCAGCAGCTCGCTCTGCGGCTGCTTGTCCAGGGCCTCTGCCGATGCAGATCGATACTTCAGTTCAATCTCTTCTTTCTTCCCAGCTTTCTTGTTTTTCTGTTGTAAAAAAAAACATGCACAGAAACTCTCCTGGAAGCTGCTGTACAGTACACTGCTAAGACCACTGTATCAGTCATACTTGGTGTGCTCTAATACACAAGTATTGTATATACACATGGTTTAGTATATATAGATTCGCTGACAGGAGTATTTGCAATATGTGCTGCACCTTCTTTTTGCTCTTCTTCCCCGTGCTTGAGCCTGCCCATCCCTCCTGCTCTCCCATCTCCTCTCTCTGCTGCAAAATCCTCTGGAGTCACATCTAGAGCCCCACAAAAAAACTTCGCGACACATGACGCTAATTAAAATAATCTTCTCAGCGTTCACTCATGTCGGAGACTTTAAAGCTACACTGATAGCTAAACCACTATCTCAAGGAAGAACAGACGTCGATACTAAAAACCGTCCGATAGTTGATAATCTAGTGCAAAACTATAGCTGTACGTCTAAAAGTATGTCAGAAAGATGACTAGCAAAATTGTGTGTCTGCTGTTATAGACTATAAATGATGCACACATGGCTCTTGCTCCAGGGGTAAAGGTTTCTATAGCGAACTGCCTCTCAATGCTACCTCAATGCTCTGACTTCAATGCTCCAACTGACCTTTCAGAGAAGGGTCGGCAAGACCAGTGAGTGAGTCTTGTCTGCTGTGAGTACGACTGCCGCGGTTCTTGGTCGGCATTGGAGGTTCATCCCAGGCAGACGACAGATAGGCTCTGTCCGGCTGAGAGCCTTCTGCCTGTTTCGGTAAGATAATAGTAATATGGCTGTATTTTAGTATATATTAAGACAGGCTTCCATGTTTGTATAGTGCCAAAGAGCCTAGAGTCATTCACAGTCAGTTTGGTGGTAATTGAAATCCATTTGTGTAACTGGAAAGTGTGTATTCGAGACTTGACTACAGAAACACCACTAAAAAATTAGGATATCAATGAGAAAAACGAGCCTCTATATCTATTATACTTTACCCCCTTTCTCAGCTTTCTGAGTCCTCTCAGTCCAGACACACAGCCGATGGCCAAGATGGCTACCGACTCGGCGGCAAAGGCCACGCAATGGTTTTCATCCACCTCGTGTTCCGGTTCTGAATCAGTCATAATGAATTCGTCCCATCTGCGGATGGGTCGGCCCGTATTAATACACATTGCACAGAAAGGTCTATGTAAGTACCAATTAATTTTCATGCACTACGATCTCAGCCACACATTGTCTGCAGTACTTTTTGCAGTTACTCATAAAAACGTATGTGCTTTGAATGGCATCTGTCCAGCTCAGTTCAATGCAAGTGCGTTATCCTCACCTCCCATCATAGTGTTTCGGAGATTTCGCAGTGATCAGCGTGGTCCCACCAAGCTACAGTTTTAGAAAGACAATAACGATAAGTAGCCACGTAGGTCAGTATATGCCGCACTCTGACCTCCTGGATTCCATCAGTTGTATCGCTCTTCTTCATCATGATGAAGTTTCCGTCAAAGTTGACGACAGCGTCCCCCTGCTGGGCGGTGTTGGTGTCTGTTACGGTGATGGGCGGGGCTTGCGGGTGGAACCCCTGATTGCTGGAAGCCTTCCCCCTCTTACTCTTGGCTCCGCCCACAACTGACCCCTCGTCTCTGTTCTGTACCACTGCTGGTCCGTATCCCATGTCAGCATCTGTATACACATATTATACAATATCACCCCTGTTCTAATTGCTCCATAACATCGAAAAAGACGGAAGCTTCTCCTCATATTGTACTGATTACGTCATTATGACATCATGAACGAGGCATACTGTATATACCTGTGTGCTTCTTGGGGATTCCCCCTGGAGGTGAAGGGTCACGCGAAGGCTGCCGACTTCTCAATTTCTTTCTCCTCAGTTTATGTCTTCGTCCTTTGGGAGGTGGATAATAGTAGTACATCATTTGTCCTGGAGCCGAGGCCTGGCTTTGCTGGAGGGGAGGCAAGATGCATTCAATCACCAATGGAACAAATGCTGTTAGAACACCACAGGGGAAATGGATCAAGTGCTTGCTCTACGGCCTTCTATATACGTATAAGCGTGAACATTTATTGGGTATTGAGGATATTATGGTCCTTAATTGCAGGAAAGCATAATTTTAAAGTTTTCTACTGTTGTTTGCACCTATCATGGTATCACGTGCTTATTATTGGAAAAAAGGGTATCTAGTTTCTTCCCTCATTAACGGTATATAGCCACACGTAAGCTACATCTCTATGTTTTTGCCTCACCCCGTAGTGTGGATAAGGGTAGCCGTAAGAAGGGTAGGGCGTTGGGTAGTGTCCGTATGGGTACTGCACCATGGGATGAGGATAGCCCTGTCTTCTGGAGACACCCGTCTTTGAGGATCGGACACTACTGGCTGAGCTGTGGGGACCTCTGCGAAGGTGATGAGGCAGAGGAAGATAGTTATAACCCCCTCCTCCTCCTCCTCCCCCTACTCCTCCTGGTCCGTAGGGTGGGTAAAAGCCCTGGAATATTGTGCCGACCATCTGCAGAAGACGTGGCATTAGGATAAGATATGTAGCATACTGAGTACGCATGATGTGTAGCTGTGCATAAGACTCATAACGTTAGGGTTGTGTGTGTGTGTGTGTGTTGGGGGATTGTTTCTGTGTTCGTAGCTACCTCGGTATCGAGAGCTGATGCTAGTGATCTCAGAATCAGAGTCGCGATAATGACGGACTCGTGAGGGGCGGCTGTAATTAGAAGTGGTCTCGTGGTTGGGAGAGGCATAGGTAGGGTCTTCCAGTGGTGGCCTGAAAGAGATAGAAAGTGTAATTTCAACAAACAACTCGAATGAAAAATGGCAATATTATACAAAGAGAAAGTAGTGCTAAGCTATAGCTAGCTAATGTTCCGATTTGTCTCATATACATCAAGCTTACATGGCGTCATAAACAGTGTTCTTTGGTTTGACTGGAGCGTAAGAAGGGTCGTTGTGCAGGTCTTCGCCACTTCTCTGTCTGCTCCTGTGACGATGCCGCCTCTTCCTTGGCTTGGCATACAGGTCACCCTACGATCATGCAGCAAATGTGATTGTAGTACATGATGTGTAAGATTCAAGAATCTGTGAGTTGTTAGTTACTGACATTCGGTCCGAGCGTGTGTTCAATCTCATCTTCTTCGCTCATGACCAACTGCTTTGGGTCGTCTTCCACTCCCCTCTCGTTCGTTCTCTGTAGCGACTCCTGCAATAACGAGTCGTCTGATTAGTAATGCAACCTCTGGTAACGAGAGAGAGAGAGAAGAGGATGGATGGAATATCTCACCTGCCTCTGAAACTGCTGGCTTTTCTACGCTTCTCCTGGATGGTTGAGGTTTGCTTGATGGCTGCAGAGAGCTCTGCTGCCTCTTGACGCTTGGTGTGCGGAGGTTGCATCATTGACGCGGGCTATACGACAAGAACAAACGCTCTGCAATTGAGCTCTCTAGCTTTTACTAGGATCCTTACCTGGCTGCTGGATCGTTTCTTCTTCTCGTACTTGGCCAGAACCATTGGTCCGTTGTCCCTCAGATCAGCAATCATGGCCGCAACTTCCGGATGACTCTGCTCCATGGCTAGATCATACGGAGTCTTGTTCTCCTGTCATCGACACACATACACACAAAAAAATCCGCCTTTTATCTTTCTCAGCTATATATATACAGCAAGTGTGTGCCAAAGTGTTTTTAGAGCCAGATACATTATGGGTAACCTATAAAGCAGTTGGCTGGATTTTCTTCTAGGCATCAGATGTACTATGATGCGTAAGATTAGCAAGATTAATGTTTCAGCTGTGGTATATATAATATTATGGCAGTTTTCTCACGGTGTCCTTTATAGTGATGTCGGCTCCATTCTTCAGTAGAAGAAGCATTGACTCCATCTGTCCGTATTCGGCTGCGTCGTGGGCAGGAGTGGCGTGAATGTGATCCAGAGCGTTCACGTCGTTTTTGTTCTCCACGTTTTCCAGCAGGTAGCGCAAGATGTCTGTGTGTCCCTGGGCTGGAGGTGGAGAATTGAATGAGGAGATGAACAAATGTACACCTGAACTCGTTGAAAAACACAGTCATGTAGTAAAAGAGCTGATGAGGGTCTGTTTATTTTCATTAAGGAATGAGTTTCTTCACAAGATTACCATCCACAATCTACTTCACCTGCAGCCATGTGGAGGGGAGTAGCTCCATCAATGGTCTTGTCCAGTATATACTTGGCACCAAGCTTTGATACGAGCCACTGTGTAGCACACAGAATAAGAAAGATCCACACACATTTTGCCATTGCCATGATCACTGAGTTTTGGACTTTCTTGGTACAGTGGCAAAATTTGTTAAGAGCTTACCAATCGAACAAGTTGAAGCTGACATATATGCTACCGATAGATTTTTTCGTGGCAAAGTATAGTGGAACTAACTTTAACAGCTTTGTATCTGCCCGCCTGAACTGCCGCGTGGACAGAACTGATTCCAGACTTTTCTCTGGCGACTGGATCGATGCCCAGCTCATTGATGAGGTAGTCCAGTACCGCGAGTCGACCTAGAGCAACAATAGCACCATCGCATATGGATATGGCGAGCAATCTCAGAGTGAGATGGGGGAAATGGTGCTATTTCTGAGCAAGATGGGGAATAGGTGCAATTTCAGAGCAAAACTTTTGCAGTCAGATGCGAAAAGGGCTTAATTTCAGAGTATAATATTTGGTAATTTTCTTTATTGAATGCTGGTAACTCTTATATGGGGTGTCCAAAGTCTTATATAGGGTAGGGAGGGGTAATGGGAAATTTGTCATTTAAATGCCACGCCCAAGATATTGCATTTTTTGCATGCTGTCATGTTTACAGGTATCTAACGGGAGAATTCATGGAGACTGATGCACACCCCACAACATGAATATTTCCTGTTTGTGTACATTCACTAGTTCGTTTACCCCGGCAACCACCTACAAACCAATTACGTCATTGTCGGGCCAAATTGGGCGGGGCAGAGGAAATCACTGCAAGACATGCGCACGTTGCTATCACAATTGAGAGAGCGTGTCTCTCTGATTTTGTCAATTCGCACCTTCTTGAGATGCGAAATACACCGGTTTGGTCGAGTTCTTGTCTTGTTTCTCGAGAATCTCCTTGCCGTACTGTCGCACCAGTAGTTTCAGAATACCCAGGTGACCTGTTGGAAGGAGACAGACGGAGAGTGGCAAACAACTGTCATTCACCCGCAAACAGCCGTGTTGGTTTGTTTGGTATAATAAAGCCGTGCTAAACACTCTGTATAGTCTGTGGATTAATCTCGAGGGACCAAGTGATAGGTGTTTTGAAATAGCAACAGTGTGTCGAACATATTTCAAGCTCTAGTATACTATAACCCTTGGAAAACAGAATTCCACCCGATGTGTTGGGCACTGGCGGAATAATATTCCAAGAATTCTCAGACTACAGCATATCTGCAATACCTATATAGGCCCTTGTAATCCACAAATAATGTTTCAATAGCGATTTTTCTCATTCACCTTGCGCAGCAGCAAAGTGAACCGCCAGATCTCCATTGAGGTTTGGTATGTCTCCTACTTCGGGGAAATTGTCAACCAGCCACCCCGTCATTTCCTCATCACCTGTAGCAACAGAGAACAAAAATACACATCAGCTTTGTCGAGCTGTGTGATGGTCTTTTTGTTCTTCTCCCCTCTCTTTTCTCTTTTTCCTTTTCCCCTCTCCTCTCTCTTTCTCTCTATCTCTTCTCTCTCACTCTTTATTTCTTTCTCTATTGCTCTACTGTGTGGTGACTGACCCTGTAGAGTGGCGAGACTGATGAGAGAGAGCCCAGATTCATCAACCTGCGACACGACCTGCGTGCTCAGCTCTGGATCGTGCTCTATCAGCAACTGCAGGTGCAACAGTGTTTCCTTGAGCGTCCAAGTGATTCATACACATGCTTCAGGCAAATAAGACTAGCAATGCCAACTATCTCAGTAGCTGAATGGTCAAGAAGTCAGCTATAAGGCATTTCTATTAGAACTGAACAACTTGGAGGGCTGAAAGCATGGGTATATAATGTTTTACTATTGAAGTACAAACAATGCTCTTTAGTCTTCAATTCTAGCTACCTTGAGGGCCTCTAAGTGACCATACACAGCAGCATAGTGAGCCGCGGTGTTCCCATTTCCAGCCTTCTCCAGAGGAGACACAGTCCCATTATCCAGCAGCCACCTCAGGGCGTCCATGGCGCCCTTCTTTGCAGCAGCATGCAGCGGAGTTTCTCGTGTGTCGGGTCCCACGAGGGGAGACCCTTCCTGAACGAGATCTGATAGCCTGGCAATGTCGTTGTTGGCTGCGGCCTCATGAGTGAGGAGTTGTTCAACTGGGGAGTCGGGAGGAGGGCCCGGCTGGCCTTCCTTCAAATCTGATTCACTCATGGCTGGACTCTATCACAGCTGTTGAGTAAAGGATATGGAGGCAGTAGCTAAACCTGTAACAATGCAGCAAGCAACTATCAAACAAGTCGATGTCAGTTACCCACCAACAAACAAGGTCATCATCACAATCACTCACTACCTTTGAGGTTTTCACACCACCCACCATCAAGGTGTTCCCGAGACTTTGCATCTAGCATGCACGTACGCACTCTTTCCGCCTCAGCTACACCCCCTTTTTCAAACTCACATTACACCCTAGTGGTTTCGTGGAAGAACAGCATAACTTTTACCTGTTATTTGTGCGAGCAGTAGATCAGTATTACTAGCAGTATATGACGGTCTTCGGTCGCGTCTTTCGTCGCTGTGAACTAGAAGAAGGAAAACTACAAAACATGGGTGGGGCACCCAGCGCTCGCTGCCGTGAAACTGACTGCGCAGGCGCGAAACCACGTGTTGCATAATCGTTGTGATAACTACACTCTGGAATTTAGGAACACCTGTTGTCCATCTGATATCCCCTGGTTTGGGAGAGAAATGGCGAAATTAGTATTACTCCTCGTCTTGTCTATGGCAGTGTCACAGAGCGGATCAACCGAAGGCGTTGGATTACCACCTCGTACGACTAATTTTAGGAACGCCAATTTACCTGCCTCTCTTCTGAGAAATTACGCGGAAGGTACAGTGAAGTTGAGAGAGAGAGTCGACGGAAACGAAGGGCTACTCGTCGTCCAAGATAGCGCCATCGAGCCCTCTCTTGGGGAGTTTACTAACGACGAAGATGAAGAAGCGAGTTCAGACGAAACAGAAATGTCCGGAGGTTCGAGCTCAGCAACCAGCACCGCAGGCAGCGGTAGGGTGAGTGGTTCTGGAGAGGGAAGCGGCAGCGGTTTTGAAACGGACTCCGCGGAAGATGCTGAGGCGGCCTTCAAAGAGTGGCTGGCCGCAGAATTGGTCCGTATGACAACCGTTGTCTACGACTGCAGTGACGAGAGCGAGACAATTGGCGACTGGAGAAACGAATCGGTCGGGTCTTGGTTGCTGGAGCATTCCGAATCCCACACGAAAGACAGCGTGTCCGTCGCTGCTGGAGCCACGCAAGTAGGGAGCGGACTTAGCAGCGAGCTACTGCCCCAAGAAAGAGAAGAAAGATTCATTTTTGGTGAGGACGACCGTGAATTTGTGACTCAGTCGAGCAGCTTTCCGCAGTGCGCAGTGGCAAGGGTTACGACTGGCTGCACGGCGTTCTACATCGGTCCGTACCACGCTCTCACGGCCGCTCACTGCGTCAACACCTTTCGCCGCGGCTGGCGGGGTCGGATACGAATGTGGCGCGAGAGAAACTGCCGAGACACCGGCTTCCTCGCAGGGTGCTCCCGCGTGTTCAGCGTCCTGGGCCACACGCACTTGAAGATGTACGAATACGACTACGCCTTAGTGGAAATGGATCGCAGCGGAAAACCTGCACCATGCTGGTTTGGTATCGGTTACATCAATCCTTGGGACTACCCCAGCGAAATAGACTTGGAAATATTGGGGTACCCCTTTGATAAACGTTGGTACTCGGGCCAGCCTGAATGCTCTTACGAAGCAATGTGGCAGGCGAGCTGCAACGTTTCCTACAGCGTCCGGCAGTACTTGCTACATTGGTGCGACGTCCTCGGTGGAAACAGTGGGTCTCCGATTTTTGCCAACGTGGATGGGAACAAGGTGGTGTACGGGATCCATGCTCATTCAGTAGGGAACTATGTGTACAATGAGGATGGGGAGAGGAAGTTGGATCCCAGGTGGAATCAAGGACCCATGATAACTCCCCTCAGATACTACCAGATCCTTAGGTGGATGGATTATGAAAAATAGGCTATTTTATGAACAATTTTTGTCAATCCACTATCCCGTATTGCAAAAGTATTCAAGGGAATATTTCGTTTGATGTTTGCAAATATGGACTGTTGCTTTGTGTTACTGTGGGCGAGGGTTTTAGTAGTGGTCTTCACACTGCCCACATCATTTGACAGTCGGGTATATTAAACGCGCACGCACACTGCGCATGCGCATTTTGGACAGGCATCGTATATTATATCATGTTGGCGAGGTCTGGTTCCGTGTTTTCCTGGACGAGAAGGGCGTTGGGGGCCGCGGCGAAGACGTTCCGACAGCAGCACACGCTCCCGGAGCTCCCGTACGCAGCGACGGCGCTGGAGCCCGTCATTTCGGGGGAGATAATGGAACTGCACCACGGGAAACACCACGCAACCTACGTCAACAACTTGAACGCGGCAAAGGAGCAGCTGCAGTCTGCGCTGCAAAGCAGTAAGTACCCCACGTCCTAGCGGGGACGCCGCCTGCGTGCAAAGCCAAGACTTGCGCGAGCCACTCTAAATAGCGCACTCTCTAGTCACGTGCGCACATCACTGCAGAGGACGAGAACGGGGTGATTGCCATACAGAAGGCCATCAAGTTCAACGGAGGAGGTCACATCAACCACTCAATCTTCTGGAACAATCTCTCGCCTAATGGAGGGGGTCTACCCATCGGTAAACCCTTACTCACTCCTCCCTCTCATCCTTTCACTTTTCTCTATACTAGGAGCTCTTCTAGAGGCAATAGAGAGAGATTTCGGATCTTTCGACATCTTCCGTGCGGAGATGACGGCCAAGACTGTTGGAATACAGGGCTCAGGATGGGGTTGGCTGGTAAGTAATTGTAACACTATCATTGAGCTAACAAATTTTGGCAAGTCCATTAATAAACATAAACCTCCCTTTGCAGTTGAGCAATGGACAAACAGGGTTTGCCCCCTCATTAATACACATTTTGCCATCTCTGTAGGGTTATGAGAAAGGCAAAAACAGACTGGTAGTGACCACATGTCCCAATCAAGACCCACTTCAACCTACCACAGGTATATAATCGTTAACATGTCTTAGGATCTAGTTTACATACTTGGTTGTGTTTAGGTCTGATTCCACTCCTGGGAATCGATGTATGGGAACACGCCTACTACCTCCAGTACAAGAACGTCCGTCCAGAGTACGTCAACAAGATATGGGACGTTGTTAACTGGGACGATGTTGCCAAGAGACTATCAGATGTTCAGTAATTAAATTCGACCCTGCAATTATCCAAGCTGCCAGAAAATGTTACATTTGTGCGTTGTTAATGTTTGTAGCAGATAGCCGAGGTTTGATAATTTCATTCAGAAAAACTGATGTAATGTTTAACTAAAACACATGTATGATGCAATGCAAAGCTACATTGTCAGTTCCTGTAACGACAAAAGCGAAGGAAAAAACCAATGAAAGATGCATTATTTTCCAGGCTTATTATCTCACCATTATTGCGTTGACGATGTCATTACTGTTGTTCTTCAGTGCCTTGACGGCCTGCAATAAAGTAATGAATAGTTTCAGATTCATGTTTTGATTAGTTTATCAATGTGCGACGAAAAATGCCCCATGAAAAACAGTATGGTGGTCTATGGCATTTGGGATCGGAATACTGGCGATTAGTGAGAGCCTCCGTATTTATATTAAAGGACACAAAAATGTCAGAGAAACTCCAAAAGGACAACCATCTCTCAGTTAGACTAAAAAGGTATCGATATAATTGGGGGGTTGAGGGACTCTGATGAGGACCACAATCATGTGCCACTAATGTAAGCAGTCACTTTTACACACAGATTTATTGACAGCTTTTTGAGTGCAGCTATAATATACAATACCTTGGCCCTGCTGACGTTGGCTTGCTGCATAACCAAATCAATATCTTTCTGTTCGACTCCCGACTCGTCAACCTACAACAAGATCAAGGCTCACGTGATCACCCAATTAGCAGCTAATTACAGGGTCACCCCCCTCCACTCACTTCGTCCTCGTCCTCCGACTCTTCTTCCTCGTCGGCAGGGGCACTGTCTTGCTCGGCCTCCTTTGTGGAGGATGCCGAAGCCTCTGGTGCCTTAAACTTCTCCGCAGCCTGAAAGCACGTAAATAGTGGAACGTATAGTTGCAGATTTGCTAAAATTAATATCGGCAGCCTCAAGCAGGTGGTAAGGAATTTGGTGGACATTGTGATCTGCACATTAGAATTAGGCCAAAACAACCTGTGACTTATGGTAACATACGCTACAGAAAACACACGGCATTAAGAGAAGACACGCCATCACTGCTATTGACATGAGACCAACGTTGGACCAATACCATAATTATAGATCAACCCTGTTGCATGGCCCAACACTCACTACACAAGAAAAGTGGTACAATGTTTCTTACCTGAATCTGCGCCTGAGAGCTCAAGTCTTCGATCTTGAGAAAAAGAGAAAAACAACGTATGAAACACAACAGGCAGAGTTTAGGCCCACCTTGGTCTCTCCAAACACAATGTACGTATCGGAGGCCGGGCTCTTGTAGACGTCGGGCTTGGCAATGACAAACAGAATGTTCTTTGCCTTCCGCACCGTCACACGGGCAATGCCAGAGTAGCTCTTTAGCCCCAGCTTCATCATCGCCTGGGAGAAAGAGGAAGGAGAAATGGCGAATGCAGTTTTGTTCGGTAGTCCCACGTCTTGCATATTATTTTCACGGAGAATTCCACAAAAGCGAACGCTAAGGTTAACCAATAATATGAACCCTGAACGTAGATGCAGTATATACGCTACTGGACATGAGCGCGTACGGGACCCCACGGACCTTGCGCGCCTTCTTCTCCCCGCGGCTCTGCTTGGCCTTGCTGAGAGCGTCGGCCACGCCGCTGAGAGACCCTGCCGCCTTCTGGAGCTCGCTCAGCGTAGAGGAGGCGGCGTTCATGTCAGCCTCATCCTCGTCGCTCTCGCTGACACTGCTCGCCGAGTCTACACGAGACGGAGAGGAGAGGGGACGAGTGATTCCAGTCGACGTGTGTGTGTGTGTAATGGGTATATCTTACCTTCCTCCTCTACTGGGTCCTCTGTTGACGTGCGAGGCCTTGTAGGGATAAAACACACACGTTGACAACACGCAAGTTCAGGCTTCTCCCGTGCCCAGACTAGCAAAATACGTCACCCTCAAACACCACTACGGCCTTGTTGTCGATTGAAGAGCAACTCACATGTCGATCGGCGGCGATTCTCTACCGGCCTTGGAAGCAATGGTGAACTCCTGGGTGACTTGATTGACGTGAAATGCACGCTCAGTCGCCGCGCGTATTCTATTAAACGCACACCATAATTATTCGCAGCCACGCACAATAATTGCTAAACAGAACAGTCGTCTTCTAGGGCTGAAATCAAGGCGGAAACCTCTTGCATCTGCAGAGATAAAATAAAATTTAAAACCATTTTCTGTCGTCTTTATCAAACAAGCCTTGTTGGTCTGCAGTTGATTCATTTTGTGGCGAATTTTGAGCTCGTTTCTAAGTCTCTTGACTTGTTCTTGTGCCTCCTCTAGTTCTTCATACTCCTCTCCACCGTTCAGCCTCTCATGCTTTTCCTTTTCCTGCGACAACTGACACAATAACACAGTGTGTCACTCCAAAATACTGCCAGTTGGCATTCAGGTTTCCGGAGAACACTAACTCTCACCCAAAATTGAACCATCTTCACTTCTGGTTAGTGTCCGTACCTTTCTCTGCAGCTCCATGCTTCGTCTCTTCACTTGAGCCATATCGCTGCTCTGGGTTTCAATTTTGCCCCGGAGCTCCTTCTTTCTCTCATCCAGCTCTCTCGCCTCCTCTTCCTCTTCCGTCAGTTGCTCCTGAAGCGCCACCCACTCTTCTTCTTCCGACGGCGTGAGATCCAACTGCAAGAAACAAACAGCACGTAAGATACGTTGACGTTTTGAGTAAATGGCTATGTATTATAGACCTCTGAGAAGTCTGGGTCGTCCAATCTCCGTTTCTCGAGTTCTTCCACCGCTGTAAGTCTCTCTCTCGCAACCTCGGCCCTCGCTACGAGTCTGGCTATCTCTTTCCCAAGCTCTCTCTTCGGCGTTGCCTTGACCGACAAGCACCTCCGCTTGTTCGCCGCCACTTTGCCGTGCCGCTGAGCCTGGTAGATCTTGTTCGCGTCCAGTACGCGCCGACTGTACCGATGTCCGGGAAGGCTGTGGCTGGTCATGAGAATCAGACGGACGTCTCTCGCCTCCTCTCCCCACTCCTCGAGGATCTGACACACGAATTCCTCCTCTCCGATCGGTCGGAGGCAGCCTTGCCAACTCTCCACGAGAATATGGGGAACGGTAGTGCGCGGGCGGAGGCTCCGAATTACATCTCTGGCCGTTGTTTTCCAGTCAAGGCCGTTCACGATTCTTCTGGAGCCGTCCACACTCACACACACTGCTCTGCCCTCTCTCTCCTCGCTCGTCATCGCTTGTAGTAGCAAACGAGCCCCGCCTCTTTTTGTGTGGATACTAGCTACGCATGCGCGTACCCGGCAGTATAGTAAAAGTCGAGTGCGGAGCGTTCGGAAAACTGTTTCGGAGACTGTTCTAGACACTGGATATGGCGACTCCGGCAGAAATAGAAACAACGACCGAGATAAAGAGCGGCTATCTCGTGAAGCAGGGTGCGTGCTTCACTAACTGCTATATATGCACCATTGTGCAACAAGTCCAAATTTACTTTGCAGGCGGAAAATATCGCAATTGGAAGAAACGATACTTTGTTCTGTCGGGTACAACGGTGCAGTACTATGTGAATAAAGGAGACGCGGTTGCAAAGGGGCAAATCGACCTGTCTGCTGGTCGAGGCGTCCGCAAGCGACACCAATGCTCGCTGGAGTGGCCCAAAGACGCCAAAAACGGTCTATGTTTCGGCCTTTCTACAGAGGGGAGAACGTACTATTTGTGCGGCACGGACAAGAGCGACATTGCGTAAGTGGGTGTATCTGCATTAGTTCGATATTAGCTTAGATTGCCAAAATATTTGCCATATCTCAACCTCCATAATCACCACAGATGCATTGCTGCATGACTAAATTTAGTGTACTGTGTGCATACAATGTAGCAATACTTTGTGTTTGTAAAAGGGCAGCTCACTAGCCACACAAACCATCTTAGAAACCTCTCTCTCTTACAAACCAATTATCCTAACCTCTGTATTGTAGCAATTTTTGAAGTCGACTTTGATAATCTTTAGTGTCACGTTCATTATAGAGACTGGATGGAAAAGTTGCAAAAAGAGATCCAAAAGGTGTGATGTATATAATAATATGCTGTCCTTGATTGTGAAGTTTATGTGTCCTGTGATATTGCAGGTAGGAAAGCCAACAGATGACTGGAAGAACGATCCGGAAGGAATTCCAGAAGGGGCTGTATCTAAAGCAGTGAGAGGAGCAACAAAACTTGCCACTCAAGTACATAATTTTTTTCCCCGTGTTGTGGTCATTAGACCATAATAATTATATTATTATACTGCACTTAACAATGTGCATGTATCCAACCACTTGGCGATGAAGTGTATGTTTCCGAACCCATTTGTTTAAGCTGTCTGTGGTTAGCTAGACCACTCCAAGGAGGCTAGTGTTGCACAACATCTGATTTACAGAAACCTGTGGCAGTTCGCACCTCTGATATAATTCAAACAGCCCAGAGAGTAAGAATGTGAATTCTTGGCACCTCAAAGTGTGTCCTATATTGTGTCCGTTGTTCGGAGTCTCTTATATTGAAGGTTCTACTGTGTCTCGTTCCCTCTCTCCTCCCTCACCTTATAGCTGAGTAAAAAGGTGATAAAGGACACGGGAGTAGTGGACGAGCAGACAGCTGGTGCGATTAGCTCTGCGGCTGATGCAGTAGAGAACCAGGCAGAGGCTGGGAGAGATGCCACAATCACCGACAGGCTCAAGATGGCAGGCTAGCTCTCTCACTATGAACCTTGCATAAGAATTTCTCTTTTCCGTACACCAAAGACCCGTGCATAAGTCTAATATTAGGACCCTTGCATAAGTTCTCGAAACTTTCAAGAGTGTTGCATAAGTCGATGATTTTTGTCATTCTTTCTAGTGTGTATGTACCAAGAGCTTGACCAGGCACTTGTGTCCAGCTTTGCCAAAAAAAACACATCACAAGTATTGATGGCAAACCTGGACATTACTCTTACAAGGACCCTTGCAAGAATCTTGCACTGAAGAATCTTGCATTAACCTTTACACCTCTCTCTTTTCTTTACACTGAAGCTGGAGACACAGCAGGGATAGTAGGAGATAACGTGGACAATGAGATTGTCAAGGTAATGTGTGTGTGTGTTGAAAATAGTGCTGTTTGTTGCCCATAGTTTCAACTCCAGGAAATCTCTATCCTTGTTTTCGCTACAGTTTTTGTGTCCATACAACGGTTTCCTCGACTAAAGCTCTCACTCTGTTTTCACATGCAGACAGCAGCAAACGTGGCTCAAGAACAGGCAGAAGCTGACGAAGATACCAGTCTCCAGCAGAGACTACTGATGGGAGCCGGCACTACTTTGGAGGGAGCCAGCGAAATGACAGACAACGAAATTGCATCTGGTGAGTCGATGATCTATCTCCTCTTTTCTGGAATGTCAGGCTCACGAAACATTGAGCTAGGAGCACTGCGACTTTAACAAGTCCATTCTCTACTATGTGGACAGTGGAACCTCTCTAATGACGAAATGAGGACACCCCTCTGATAAGGACACCTTATAGAACGATTCTTGATTAACCAAGGACACCTCAATGACATCTGTCCCATTATAGTGCATTATACAGGGTTCTACTCTGTTCATACAGGTGTGCTAACAACAGCAGGGGGTGTGGCCAAGGACCAAGCCGAAGCGGACGAGGATATGTCTGTCAAGCAGAGATTGGTGCTGGCTGGAGGCAGTGCACTCTCTGGAGCCTCTGAAATGGTTGACAATGAGGCTGTAGCAGGTGCTATGGAAGTGGGAGGTGAGCATATACAGCTCCCTACTGTGAAATGAAGCTAAAGCATGCTGCTTGATATACAGTAGCTATCTGCAATCATATGCCTACAATACTGTGCAATATGAGTAATAACATACTCGGTAGGTAGTGTACGGGTTATTATTAAACTCCTCTGCAGGTGGTGTATTGTCAGATCAGGTAGAAGCAGATGAAGACACTAGCCTCAAGAACAGAGCTCTCATTGCCATAGGTAAAATTTTTAATCTACTCTAGAATGGGCATGAGCTAAATGCTTCAGTCAGGCAGTTGTTTAGGTATTGAGTTGACTGCACAAAAAGTAGTATTCCCAGTTCCACGGAGGAATCCCTCTCTAAGTATATACACACCCTTGAAATGAGAACAACTTTCCAGCTTTCATTTCCCCAAGAAAAATAACGGACACTTTCTCATCCCCCATTTGGTGTTCAGATTTTAACGGTAAATAATTTGCATTCCTCTTCCATTGGTGTTCAGATCAGTGGACTCCATTATCCACGCAAAATAATTACTATGCAGGGAGTACAGCAGAGGGAGTCGCAGATTTAGAGCAGTTCAAGCATGATTCCGGTGTCCAGAAGACTGCTGGGGGAGTCTCAAAGATTGCAGAATCACTGCAGGATGACGGGAATAAGTCTCGTTCCATTAGCAGTTCTAGTAGTAGTTCTAGTAGTAGCGAAGACGAAAAATAATGTGCTATTGCCCAGTGAAAATCGCTTGCGCATGCGCAATAAGGGTTTGCCTCGAATGGCATGATGGAGGGAGGTGTTGGTGGAGATAGTCACGGCTCGGCTAGGAGGCTTTCTGTACTGCGCGGTCATCTGAGCGCCGGAGCAAGGACAGTTGCAGCTGTCCAGGCCTCGGGGACGAGCAGCTCTTACAGCGCGCCCGTGTCCAGTAGCAAGGACGAGAGGCAGCGAGCTTACCCTCGAAAGAGGTGGGCCGTAGCTGGACTTGCACCGGTTTCTCTACTCCCTATACGTGTACAAACAGGCAGAGTGTGGTGAAGTGGAACGGATGGGGCTACAGAGACTCGTATTTCTTCTTCAACCCCAGCGGACAAGCCGAGTTCAACGGACGGAGGTAGATGCGAAATACGCGCATGCGATAAAATGCATTTGCGCGTGCGCATTCGGATTACAACCTCATTAATACATCTGTCATTGGTATCCTGATTAGGGGGGTTCCACTCTTGTTGTATTGGGTGCAGGTATGAACTAGGCGGGAAAGAGATGCCTCTCGCTCGAATGTGGATGGAGCATAAAGTCGGTCTCGAGATTTCCCTCACCTCATTCTCGCAGGTATGGTAACCACACCCACAAATCACCCAATGCTCCGCCCACCTTCTCCAGCCGCACCCGGGTGTGGACGAGATCCCTCCGCCTCTCCGTTGCCCGGCATTTGTCGAGGAGATCCGACACAGCTGTGTCGCAATATCTGACGAAGGTCCAGATAGGCTTCTCCGGGGACATGGTATATACAGCATACAGTGGAAGCCTCTGAATAAGGGCCAACTTGGGGACTGCGAAAGTGTCCCTTATTCAAGAGGCGTCCTTTATTAAGGGATGGTATAGTACAGTAATGTATATATTAGTAGGAGGCAGAACAGAGTGTCTCTTATAGGGAGGTGTCCTTTATTCCAATGCAAGGGTCCTTTTCACTGTATATACATCCTAAGCTATTCTTCGTCCACCACACCCTTACGTTGTGAGGATATAGTGTGGGGCTGAACCAAGTACTCTTTATAGAGAGGTGTCCCTTAATTAAGAGGGTCATTTTCACTGCATTGTATAATGCTGAGTGTTGCATGCCTTATTTCTCTATAAGGTCACACGTGTCATGAACTCTTTGCTCTAAGGACGGGGAAGATCGGTCGGATCCCTGATCTGGTCGTGTGGCCCGGTGAGTTGTAGACCACACCCCCTTGCCACGCCCACTAATCACTCCTACCCATGCAGGTACTCATGATCACGTGGTGAAGATTGTCGATGCTGCAACAAGACACAACATATGCCTCATTCCCTATGGAGGTATATACATATCCGTGCCAGTGCTTAATGACATTACATCGATATTACATCATTATGACATCGTCGTTAAAGGTGGCACCAATGTGTCTGGAGCGCTGGAGTGCCCTGCGGAGGAGAAGAGGGTGATAGTCTCCGTGGACACCAGTGAGATGGACAAGATACTGTGGGTGGATGAGGAGAACCTAACAGCCCACGTCCAGTGCGGCGTCGTCGGGCAGGACCTTGAGAGAATGGTGTGTACAAAATAATAGTTGGGCAGCGAATCAGTGGGTTAACAGCATTAGCGCGAGACTATAAGTTGCATGCAACTTGAAGTTTTATAGACCGTGCAACAGTTGGTACAGCGCTCGCCTAGACTGCAGAGTGTAATCCCACTTACGGCATCTCTCCTTGTAAAAGAGAGTTGTCCTGGGTGTAGTTGACTTGTTTGCCTCTACCTTGCTACCTCACTTCATTTGTTGACACATGCAACATGTTGCTTTCATAACCTACCGTGTGTTCCCAATCTTAACCCTTTCCTCTCTCCTCTCTCTCCTCCCCCAGCTGGCAGAACGAGGCTACACCTGCGGCCATGAGACCTGATTCCCTGGAGTTCAGTTCAGTCGGAGGTTGGGTGGCCACGCGAAGTTCCGGTATGAAGAAGAACGTCTACGGAAACATCGAGGACATTGTGATCTGTGTGAGAATGGTGACACCTCGGGGAGTGGTGGAGAGGGGATACTTGGTGAGTGGGAGAAAGAAGGAGCGAGGGAGGAGGGAGGGAGGGAAGGGAAATTAATAGGAAAAGGAGTGAGAGTGAGAGAGAATAGATAAACGTAGTAGTCCTGGTGGGTGTAATTAGTGGGCGTGGCAAAGGATTTAAGTTTTTCTTTATCTCAACAGGGACCTCGTAACTCTATTGGTCCAGATATCCAACACTTCATTCTGGGCTCCGAAGGTACACGAGTATCATTCACCATGTGCCAACTATATGTACAGAACCTCACGCAATCACTTTCAAAGTGCTGTATATATGTAACAGGAAAAACTGAAGGGTCTTTCTTTTATTCCGAAGGTTTTGTAGTAATTCTGAATTCTCATTGGTTGCAGGGATATTGGGATTCATTACCGAGGTAACGATAAGGATCCGCCCCCTCCCGGAGGTCCGTCGCTATGGTTCCGTCGTCTTCCACACATTCGAGCTTGGAGTTCAGTATATGAGGGAGGTCGCTAGACAGGTGTGTTCAGAGTTAAAAATTATCAAGGATTTGGAAAATCGGTTCTTTGAGAAAGGGAACCAGAGACTATATATATACTTGACATGCTGGGACTATAGCAAATGTCTTTCAAATGGAACTAGGTCGAAACCTTTTATAGAGAGGTGTCATTTATTCATTACGAGAGTTTCATAAGAGTTTTTCTTTCTTGTTTTCTCTCCACACAGCGCTGTGCCCCAGCCTCGATCAGGTTGATGGATAACGAGCAGTTTCAGCTAGGTTAGTGGCACATATCTCCCTCCGCACCCCTCTTTTCCTCCCCTTGCTTACTTACCCCTCTTATTCACCTCTCCCTCTCCATCTTTTCTCTCTCCCTCTCCCTCTTTCTCTCAACAGGTCAGGTGATGAAGCCAGCTCCCTCGATGTTTGGCTCCTTCACTAACTCACTAAAGAAACTCTACGTCACCAAGGTTTGCATGTAACTGCCGGGGAGCCCCCCTCTAAGGACACCCTGAAATGACGACACTTCTCTAATAGGGACACCTTTTTCTTTCTCTACGAACAGTTCTTGCATGCAATTCAACCCCTGAAATAAGGACACCTCACTAATACGGACACTTTCTTCCGTCCCATTGGTGTTCATATTAGAGGGTTCAGCTGTTAATGAGCCCGCATTAATAATAAGAACTTGTCATTACAGTTCAAAGGGTTCGATGTGGATAAGATGGCAGCATGCACACTGCTCATGGAGGGCACGGCTGAGGTAAACTGAAACTGAAAACCTTCAGTGAATCAATGTACATCAATTGTTACATATGATGTCCTTATATAGGAGGTTGCTATTCAAGAGCGGATTCTCTACGACATTGCATCAAAATTTGGGTGAGCTTCTACCAGATGTTCTCACATTTTTTTTCTTTTGCCAGTGGACTGGCCGGAGGGGAGGAGAATGGTCGCCGTGGTTACCGGATGACTTTTGCCATAGCTTACGTCAGGGTAAGACGTGATGATGTAATGATTACTATTCTTAGAATCATATTATGTTGCTATTACAGGATCTGGGGTTTGATTATTGCTATCTTTCAGAGTCGTTTGAAACTTCAGCTCCTTGGAGCAGGTGATTACATTTTGTCTACTTCCTTACCATTACTGCTTTTGTGTCTTTTCTCTCCTCTTTCTCTCCTCTTCTTTCCTCTTTCTCTCCTCTTTCTCTCCTATTTCTCTCAGAGTGCTAGAGTTGTGTAGAAATGTGAAGGACAGGGTCTTTCGGGAATGTGAGAAACAAGGGGTGAATGTCACCAAATACCCACCACTCATTAGTTCCAGGTACGTTTTTCTTCTCCCAAACAACTGTTCTTTTGTAGTTGGAGTGTGAAGTGCAAATACGCTAGGAGTGGCCGAATAATTGGTGGCCAACTTTTCGTACTTTTAGTAAGAGTGTTAAAGAAAGTACAGTTCGACCAACAATCCTAAATACCTCGACTATAGCTGTAGTGTGCAGTGCAAATACACTAAATAGGGTGGCCAACTTTTTGTACTTTTAGTAAGAGTGTAAAGAGAGTACAGTTCGACCAACAATCCTAAATACCTTGACTATAGCTGTAGTGTGCAGTGCAAATACACTAAATAGGGTGGCCAACTTTTTGTACTTTTAGTAAGAGTGTTAAAGAGAGTACAGTTCGACCAACAATCCTAAATACCTCGACTATAGCTGTAGTGTGCAGTGCAAATACACTAAATAGGGTGGCCAACTTTTGTACTTTTAGTAAGAGTGTTAAAGAGAGTACAGTTCGACCAACAATCCTAAATACCTCGACTATAGCTGTAGTGTGCAGTGCAAATACACTAAATAGGGTGGCCAACTTTTTGTACTTTTAGTAAGAGTGTTAAAGAGAGTACAGTTCGACCAACAATCCTAAATACCTTGACTATAGCTGTAGTGTGCAGTGCAAATACACTAAATAGGGTGGCCAACCTTTTGTACTTTTAGTAAGAGTGTTAAAGAGAGTACAGTTCGACCAACAATCCTAAATACCTTGACTATAGCTGTAGTGTGCAGTGCAAATACACTAAATAGGGTGGCCAACTTTTTGTACTTTTAGTAAGAGTGTTAAAGAGAGTACAGTTCGACCAACAATCCTAAATACCTCGACTATAGCTGTAGTGTGCAGTGCAAATACACTAAATAGGGTGGCCAACTTTTTGTACTTTTAGTAAGAGTGTTAAAGAGAGTACAGTTCGACCAACAATCCTAAATACCTCGACTATAGCTGTAGTGTGCAGTGCAAATACACTAAATAGGGTGGCCAACTTTTTGTACTTTTAGTAAGAGTGTTAAAGAGAGTACAGTTCGACCAACAATCCTAAATACCTCGACTATAGCTGTAGTGTGCAGTGCAAATACACTAAATAGGGTGGCCAACTTTTTGTACTTTTAGTAAGAGTGTTAAAGAGAGTACAGTTCGACCAACAATCCTAAATACCTCGACTATAGCTGTAGTGTGCAGTG